TGGGCAACAGTGTGACCCCTGAAATGAGGAAATAAACATTAAATTACCTAACATCATCTTTTCGTAGTTCCCCTTCCAACCCCCAGCTACTTCCTTTTCCTTTTCTTTTCCCACAATCCAGTTTCATCCCAAACCACCCGCACACCCATTTGCCCTTTGCACACTCCCATGTGCGATTTATTTAGGATCAGGTTGGAAAACTGATGGATCAGATTCTTCTTGGTTTATTTGTGGACAAGCAGAAAGTGCCATCAGATGATGAATAGTGGCTGTAGGACTATTTTAGGCTCTGGATGGTGGGCATCAGTGCCCATGGAAGTATTTTAGGCTTTGTGTGGTCGCTGTTGGTGTCTATAGAGTATTTTAGGCTCTGGATGGTGTCTCTAGAGGTGTTTTAGGCTCCTGATGGTGACTGTCAGTGGCTGTGAGGGTATTTTAAGCTCTGAATGATGGCTCCTAGAGCATTTCTGATTAGGAAAATCCACAGCTGATGTTTGAGTTACCCACAACTCCAGTGTTGTGTGTATGTGTGGTAATGGCAGGACTGAATTTGGAGGGGGCAGGAGCAGATGCAGTGTCTGCATTGCTGTCTCTGCCCAGACTTTGGTGCACATGAAACTGGGGATGTTGACTGAGGAGCAAGCACTCGGCTGTGGCTGTAGGTGGATGTGAGTGAGTTACCCTCTGGCTCAAATCACAGGCTCCGAGGGAGCAGGATGGCTGGTGGTGCTTCCCAGGCTATATGTTCCTCTAGCACACCTTTGAACATTGCAGACCTCTTAATCATCCCTATAAAACCATTTCCTCATTTTATAGGAAGTGTATATTTGGTGAAATAATCTCACCAAAGGAAATAACTTGTTCTTTGATGAATTATCTTAAATATCAAGTTCATAACTGAGCATAGTGCAAGTGTCAAAGTAGTCATGAGTTGCCACTGCTGTTGTGCTCTTATAAAATTTATCCTTCTGGATTACTTAGAGATGCATCTTAGAATTTTTCAATAATAGCTCATAAAGGCCTTGTTTAAGCCTCCAAACAGCAGTGATCCTACAGGAATGAAACAGCAGTAGCTTCTTCTGATAAAGTGATACAATCTGGTTTTGTTCAGGATATTTGGCCATCTACAGTATGCATTTAGGAAACTAAATTCAAGTCATCAAGGTCTGCAGATTTTTCACTAGGTTAATATATATTTTTTCTATACACATCACTTCTGAAACTGCCTAGTAAAGATATTTTGGCTCTGAAGATACACTCAAATGGGAATAATTAGTGAGAGGGTGATGTTAAAGCATCGCAGTGCTGCAGGGCAGGGATTTGTCTGCACGTTAGTCACTAGCCCCAGTTCTGAGTTTTATAACCCAGCCTGTTCCCACACGTGTCTGTGGGACATGGGCCCTTCACCTCTGAGTGATGTTCTTTCCCTCAGATTTCCCACCCTTTGTCCTTGACTAATACTGAAAAGTGAAAGAAGCTTTTTATTCCACTGCAAGCTTCCTGGGTTTAGGTCTGTTTTCTCCAAAGTGTGTTAACAACAGGAAAACAGTGTGTGGGTATAAAAATACACTTATTTAATGGTATTTTATTGTCTGGCTTGACGCTGGGTGATGTGTGTGTCTGCAGAGCTCCTGCCTGGCCTTTTCCTGTCCTTGGCAGCCCTCCCACGTTGGGTGTTTGTTGGGTGCTGTCACCCTGTGAGGTGTCACCGTGCCATCCCTTCGCGTTCACCTGGCATGAGCGTTGGAGCCCCATGTCCCGGTGCTGTATCCTGTGTGAGGCAGCCCACAGCCAACATGAGCATGGGAATTGCATGCAGACATGCAAGAGAGAGAGGATGTTGGGTGGGAAAAAAATCAAATCCAGCCCTTGGCAGTTGTTTGGAAGAGGGTCCAGAAGAGGTTTTCGAGGACCATGTGTTCCCGGCTGGGTGCCCATCTCTCCTGGGACAAGAGGTGCCGCAGGCCCAGTCTTGGTGCTGCGTGTGTAGTGTAGGGAATAGAAGGAACCTCTTTAAAATTCCACACCCTTCTGCAGGGGGAGGTTGGTCCATCAGCTGACTGTCTTATATGTGAGGCTTAATCTTCAGAAGCATCCTCGTGCTTTAAGCCTGTGCTGTAAGTATGTTATCAGAGCTGTTTTGGAAAGAATAGAATATTAACATCCCGAGAGCCAAGCTGGGCAGGAGCCCAAGGGGTTGTCAAGGGGGCAGATGTGACCCTTGGGGCACTGGACAAGCCTCACTCTTGGACTTCTTCTTGGACCTCTTACACAGCAGCCCCTTCCTCAAACTTGGAAACTTTATCTTATCCTGAAAAATTGCTCTCCAAAAGATTTGAGGCAGTATAGGAAAAGTATTTATTTTAAAAAGTAATGCTTTTCTTGGAAAACAAAAGGATATTGCAGATTTGGGGCTGGTTTAAAACCCTGATGATGTAGAGTAGTGTTAATGGATTAACATAGATGATGGATTAAAGGTTTGTCCTCAATAAGATGGATATAGGATCACAGTATCTCCTTGTTTTATGGTTGCACTTGACCTCTGCATGAAAATTCCCTCTCGTTGTGTGCGCACTTTGCAATTAATGGCATAAGCATGTTGTTTCCTTACCTGCCCTTTTCCCTTGTTTTAGGAGCAGTCTCTGGTGATTAACAATCTCTATTGTTTCATGGATCCAAACTGGAACAGCGAATGTGCAGGGTGATGATCTCCCTGTATCTGATGTGCTGTGCACCATGACTCGAGCAGGATGGTTTGGGCTGGAAGGGACCTTAAAGCTCTTCTCATTCCACCCCCTGCCATATGCAAGGGCATCTTCCACTAGACTAGATTGCTCCAAGCCCCATCCTTCACTGTATATAGTGTTACCTGTATGTCTGGGGTGAACCAGGGCACAAAGCCCGCTTGTGATCCCAAGGAGGGATCATGTGTCTCCAAACCTTTGAGTAGAGTCACCTCAGGCTTTGTCCCTGGTCCCTTCAACAGAGGCTGGAGAGAAAAACCTCCTTAGGGAAGGCTGACACCACGGCTGGGGCTGCTGGGCAGTACCATGGGCAGGGGAACCAACGAGTGGTTTCCTTCCCTCTTTTCACATATTTTATTTTCTCGATATAAACACTGTTCCTAGAGGAAAACTCACATGCTGACTGCAGCTGGTTTTGCTGCTGAATCATCCCCCGCTTGCCAGATGTGGCCTGATGGATTTTCTCCTGCAATTAATTGTCTCTACTTGGTCTTGCATTGCATAGCCAAGTGCCCTGAGAGGGAGGGAGGGGAAAGGTGTTCCTTGGAACTATCCTAGGAATTAGTGTTGAAGGGTCGGTCTCTGCCCAAACCCCTGGTTTTGAGCTATTCCATTAGATTTGTGCTTCCCAGAGCGTGTCCTGGGTGGCAGATCTGATCCAAGGTGTCCTGCTGCCCTCTGGCTGGTGCCCAGACAGGCAGGAGAGCACAGGAATAGCCTGCGTTTGAGTGACCTGCGAGGAAAGAATCTGTTTATGTGCCCAAATGGTGACATGCTGTGTGACACACAGCCTTTTTGGGGTGTTTTTGGTTTGGGTGGTGGGGGTGTTGGGCTGATTTTGGGGCACCATGGTGAGCTCTGCTGTGGTGAACAGCGCGTGCCCGGCTGCCGCTGGCACTGAACCTTTGAGGACACCACAGTCAGCTTCCCAGCCTCATCCTTCTGCTGGAGTTCCTAGGGGAGATCCCAGCAGCAGGGACACTGCTTGGAGCACAGACCCTCCCATCTTCAGTGTTAGTATCAGGGATTGGGATCCCGTGGAGGGAATGCCGAGCCTGCAGCCCGGCGCCCCTCCCGTCCCCGCTGCCGAGGCTGTGCGGCTGTTGCTGCCGGTGTGTTGCTGTCAACACGGCCTTTGGAAACGTTCCTTCCCCCCTGGCTATTTTGAGAGGAAGCATGTGATGCAGGCAGCTCCCTGTGCCGGGCTCCCTATGGAAGGGGGCTTCCAGCCCTGTTCCCAGCAGAGGAAGGGTGTGAGAGATGCAACTCCAACAGCCTGCATTGCTTTTTGTCCTGTCCTATGGATGGTGCAGCGGTCAGCTCCAGCTGGGATGCTGCTGGAGCTCTGGAGGGGGGGATATGTGTGTTCCTGTAGGGACTCTGAGTACTGAAGGATTATTTTAAACCATTTTACTCTGTTGAGCTGGAGAAATACAACCTGTCTAAGGCTGATCTTCTTACAGCTGCTCTTGGCATTATGCTGGGCTTTTAAACCGCCCTCACACCATGATTAAAACCTTCTGCCTGTGTTTTTCCCCTCTTAATTGTATCCACTGAAACATCACTTTCATCTCAAGTAGCCAGGCTGTAGTAGTGATCAGGATGGGAGAAGGAGCACTGATATTTGAAGGCTGGAGAGGCTTGGGATGGAGTCCGGCGGTGGCTCTGCTGCGGGCAGTGCTGGATGCATTGCCTCATCCTGCTGCACTTCATGTCCTCTCTAAGTTAATGACATTTCTTTTCCTCTCGTACTCTTTGCCTGACTCATTTGCTCAGGCTGTAAGTACCTGAAGAGGGTGGCTGCTTGCTCAGTGTCTGAGCTGCACCTACCAGAGATTCCTGTAATGCCCGTAAGGGAATTGCCTGCTTTGCTCCAAGGTTATATCCTTAATGTGTGTCTTTTAGAAGAGGAGTCATAGAATCATGGAATAGTTTGGCTTGGATGGGATCTTTAAAGGTCATCTAGTCCAACCCCACCTTCATTTTGTTTAAACAGCCCTGTAGTTCTGGTTTTACCTGGTCCATCCCATTTGCATTCTCTTGTTGTAAGTCCTATCCTAGTTATTATTTTATGACAATTCCAGAGCTGCGGCCTTTGGGTGCAGAAAGTCATGGTGCTCTTTGGGGACCTCGTTGCTGGGGGAGGTGGAGGCAGGTCCTGGCAGCAGACACCATTGGGGTGACACCAGGCGTGTCAGCAGGCCCTTCCCAGCTGGAGCCCAGGTCCTCATAATACTTTCCTCTTGTGTTTTCCAGGTGTACAACTCGAACAAGGACAACCAGAGCGAAGGCAGTAAGTATTTCTTCTCAAGCCTGACCCCTGAGAGGTGACTGAGCTGTGTGGGGAGTCAGCAGGAGAAGCTGGTGACACTGGGCTGTACTGGGCTCCCCTGGGCCAGGGGGTGACAAGAATTGGCATGGGGACCACAGGGTGGCCCAAGGAAAACTGTGTCTGGCACCCAGCAGGGACCAGGGGCAGAAACCTGATGGTGGGACCTGGGGCCATGGAGAGCAATGTGAGGCAGTTCCCTCTCCCCCTTGGGATGTGTCCCCTCCTGCCCCAAACTGTGGTGTCTCAAGGGCAGTGCAGGGGTGCTGGTGGCCTTGGGACCTGCTCCTGATGCTCAGCAGAGGGTTCAGGTGGCACCTGGGACCAACCAGCTTTCCTTTCTGAGCCAGAATGTACAGTGTGAATGTGCCTTTCCAGAGGGGAATTGGAGCACAAATACAGGAGTGAGGAGGTCCTGTCTCATCAGGATTGACAACAAGAGCCCTTAAAAATAAAAAAGCTGTTTTTATTGTAGTTCAGGCAATCAAAGCCTTGAGTCAAGAAAGCACTTGTTTTTCTTCTTAGAGGAACAGTCGCACCTGGTCCTGCCTCTTATGTCCTGTGTTTTAAAACCCTTAATTGAGCCATTTCCCAGTAGGTTTGATTTGCCATAATTGCAATACTCCAACCCTCAGTCCCTTCCCTCCTTCCCTCAAATCCGGTCACGCGGTGGCCTGGGCTGACGGTCAGTACATGGTTCATTTTTGTGCTGCCTCAGACACAGCATTTTCATCTTGAGCCGAAGCATTTTTCTCACAGTAATTGGTATAATTTGCAGCTAATGTTCCTCACACGCATTTCAGCCCTTGCACAAAGCAGTCTCTTCCCCCTCTCTGCCATGGTTTTTTGTTCCCTTTGGTCCTCCCTGGCATCAGCTGCACATCCATCCTTTCCTCTATGTGTTCCACCTGGCTCTGTGCATCGCAGGTCATCCTTGCAGAGCTCAGTGCTGTGCCTCACACTCAGGAAGGGCAGCATGGCCAATGCCCTGTGGGGTAGGAACTCTGCTAGAACAGCTCATCTTGTCTCAGTTTTCCAGAGGGGCAAAAGAGGTTTTTGAGACACAGAGACCAGGACTGGCTCAGCTGCATCCTACCTGGGCGTGAGCTGTCACCGCTCTGTGTTCCCTGCACACAGCCCCTGGCTCTGCCAGGACTGTACCTGGTGATTTGGCTTAAGAGACCATTTTGATGGTCTATCTTAAAAGTGAGAAGGATCTTCCCTATCTGCTCCACAGACTGTCCTTCCTGGCTCTGGAAGAGGGTTGGAACCCTTGGCTGTGTACATAACAATGCTTCTGAACCCTCCAGTTGGGCTAGGCTGGTGTGGTCAGAGATCTGAACTGCCTCAGCCCTCATTAAATCCGTGTCTTGGATCTCTGCTTGCCTCACCAGCCACTCTAAAATTGATTCAGGGGCTGGCTTTCTGCCAGCAGCCCTTGATACAGGAGCTTCCTATAAGGACTTGAAATGAGTGCAGTGATTGAGTGGGTCCGGATGCAATTCCTGACCCTGGAAACCTCTATACCTCTGCTTCCTGCTTGTACTTATGGGAGCATGACAGCACCTCGCAGTGCTGTAGTGGCACTTTTTGGCCACTGTCTAAATTTACAGAGCTTTTGGTTTTACATCCTGCTGAGTGGCCAGATGGCCATCGGCCCACAGGTGATTTATCTTAATCTGCTTTGGGAGGGGGGAGAAAGCCATGCTGAAGGGGTGAGTGGGTGTCACTGAACTGCGCGAGCTAGGAGGATTTAGATGCACTAGTTTGCAAACCAGAAGGACTTGCCCTGCTCTGTGGAAACAAATCCTCCAGGCCATTTGTGCTTATTGCATGGAACAGCACAGAAGAACTCCTTTCCCTTCTCTCCCCATTTCCCTCTCCTTTTTCCCCTTCCACTTGGTTCCCCATTAGTTGAGGACCCCATCAAAACTTGTCTTTATTTTCACAAGCTCTTCACATACCTTGAGACCCTTGGCTGCCCTGTCTGCTGTGCCCTTATCTGTGTGGATCTGGCCACCCCAGCAGGCACAGTCACGGAATCTCAGAATGGTTTGGGTTGGAAGGGACATTTAAAGGTCATTTAGTCCAGCCCCCTGCCAAGGGCATGGGCACCTTCCACTAGAGCAGATTGCTCCAAGCTCTGTCCAACCTGGCCTTGAACACTTCCAGAGATGGGGCAGCCACGGCTTCTCTGGGCAACCTGTGCCAGGGCCTCACCACCCTCATTGTAAAAAACTTCTTCCTTTTATCTAACCTAAATTAACCCTCAATCTTCCTTTCCCAAACTTGGCAGCTCACTGGTAGTTTGAGACTTGAAAACTCATTTCTGGTAAGACTTGAAAACTCGTTTCTCTCTGGTCTCTGCTTCTTGGTTTCTCCCCACCTCTGTGGCTCTTATTTCCTTGAAGTCTTTGAAACAATTCAAACCAGTGGTCATTTCATGGCACAGAAATGTGTGGTGGGGAGACAGAGGAGCTGCTTTGACCTTGCACTGCCACGACCGACACACAGCTGGAGCCAGCCAAGCTGCACAGAGCTGATTCAGTCCTGCCCCCTTCCTGATGCTCTGATATGCCACATCAGCGTAAAGTAAAGGAATTAATGGATTAAATAGAAATAATCTGCTAGGCAAAAATAGAATGGGATGAGACCAACTCACTAGCACTAGAGATGTGATGCTGCTTGAAGGTCAGATGGGTGTGGGGGTGTGTCTGGGCAGCAGCTGCAATACAGGTGATGTGTATCACTCCTGCCAATGTAAAATGTTACTGTGATAGATTAATTACAGCCTGGGTAGTGCATCTCCTTGGCACGGGAATGCTGCTGCTGTAGGAAGAGCCTGGAGCTGAGTCTCACATCCTTCCCTGTGGAAGGAGAGCCTTAAAGGGAGCTCTTTTACTTGCCCTTGGACAGGCAAACAGGGCCTGTTGGAAATTAGGGTTGTCCAGCCCTGGCTCAGGCTGCCCTGGGCAGTGATGGAGTCCCCATTCTGGGAGGGATTTAACAGATGTATGGATGTGGCCCTTGGGGACATGGTTTAGTGGTGGCCTTGGCAGTGCTGAGGCAACAGTTTGACTCTATGACCTTAGAGGGCTTTTCTAACCAAGATGATTCCATGATTCTGTGATGTGGACAGCAGTAGATCCAAATCTGCCTTTGATCTGGGCCGTTGCTGAACTGAATCATTGGGTAAATGACTGAGATAAAGAGCGACTGCTCTGTGAGAGGGGAAATCAAGCTTTTACAATGCTCATTAAAAGTTAAATTTAAGGATGAATAAAGGCACTTTGGATATTTAATCAGATATTATTTCTGGATGTAACTACTGCAAATAAATCCCCGACCTTTCCTGATCCAGAGCTCAGCAATGAGTGGAAGAGCTTATTCATCTGCTTAGGGGGATTATTCCAGGTCCCTTCCATCTGGGGGGACTGCTGGGTTTCCTGCTCCTGCTATTGCTGCAGGGAGGTGGGATCCCAGCCCTGCTTGGCCATGGGGCAGTTGGCTCTGCAGGGTTATAGAATCATGGAATCAGAGAATGGTTTGGGTTGGGAGGGACCTTAAAGCTCATCTCGTTCCGCTCCCTGCCATGGGCAGGGATACCTTCCACTAGACCAAGTTTCTCCAAGCTCTGTCCAACCTGGCCTTGGGGGTTGGAGTTGTCTTTTGCTCAAGTCCAGACATGTGAGGGACAAAAGGAAAATTGTTGTTTTATGAAATTGTTGACACTTCCATAAACCAGGCACTTCAGAGAGCCTGAAACAGTGATCTGTGTTGGCTGGACAGCACCATGCAGGGACACCCAAAGGTCAGGGTCATATCAGTGCCAAGCCAAGGCTGATCAGACCTGCTGAACCAGGTTTGCTGGTACAAGAGTGTTTCCACACTGTGGTTTTGTGCTTCTCAGGTACCCTTGTACCTGAGTGATCTGAGTTATGGCAGCTGTGCCCTGCTGATGCAGAAGGCACGTTGGTTTTATGCTGCATCTGTGTTTGGGGAGTGGTGCTTGGAGCCCTCCAGGTGCCCAGGAAAGGGCACTGCAGCTTCTGGATATCCACACGTCCTATGGCACAGGCATCCTGCAGCTTGTGTGCTTATGTTGGCTCGGCACGAAAGCCTGCTTGCCCAGAAAAACACAACAGAGCTGTTTTACTTTGCACTGTTTTGGGTCCTTGTGCCATTCATCAGACAAAGAACACCCCCAGCAGAGAACTCAAAACAAGGGATTAGGAAGGGACTGCTCCATGACACCGTGAGCTGGCAGCTGGTCATGGAGCAGCAGTGGATCCATGTGTGAATAACAGTGTGAGCAGGGGGAATGCAAAGGAGGGAAGTTGCACGTGCCTTTCTGTGAGGGCACTGCCAGCCCTGGGCACTGGTCCCTTTCTGCCCTGCTCTCCATAGAATGAGTTGTGTCTCTCACAACACGGCATTCTCTGGAGTCTGGAGCCCAGGGAAGCTTTGCACACTGTGGGTCTCCTTCCTATGGAAGGTTTCCCAAACCTTTCTGTAGGAAGGAAGTAATTTTCCATAACAAATAGCTGTGTGCAGCGTTTTCCAGGCAGTGGTGGAAAGCTGTCTGTGGGATGAATTTTTCCAGCAGGTGTTTGGATCCGTGTACAATTAATTCCTTGAAATTAAAAGTGAAAACCTGCATTGGCACGAATGAGTAGAGTTGTACATCCCATTAACTCCAATGTTTTAGCTCTCAGTCTCAGGCAGAGTCAGCTGCCTTCGGGACACCCTAATTTGCTCCAAATAAATATTTCATTTGTGCTAATAAAAGAACCTGAACCGTGCACATCTGTGCTGGGTGAGGCTGAGTGGGATGTGTGTGGTGGCTCACAGGACAATATTGTTCAGCTGGACTTTTGCCTTGCTGGGGGCAGGAGCGGCTGCCTGGGGTGTGCAGGAGTGGTTAGGGACAGTGCTGATGGGCACCTCAGGGGCAGTTCTCCTCCCACTGGGCATAGGAGGTGCTTCAGACAGAGATTTGACCCAAAATTTATTCCCGTCTCCCAGTTCCTAATGCTCTTCCACTGTCATGTGCTGTCAGCTCTCTCCTCTTCATGTGATGTTTTTACCTCCACGTTTTCTTAGAATCACAGAACTGTTTGGTTTGGATTGCTCTCCGGCACATGTGTGGCTTGGTTAGCTGGATGCAGAGCAGAAAGGATGTATAGGAATTCCCTGGGACTCATCAAGAACGCTGCCATTTTGGGGGATTTGTTGTGTCAAAAATATATGATTTCCTTTTTTTCAAGCAATCTGTTGTCAACTTTCCAGACAAGTTTGGGTTATCTCACCTTGATCCTAAAATAATTTTTGACCATCCACAGAGGTAGATGCCTGGCTGAGCCCAGGGCTCTGCTTCTCAGTGGGTGTGGAGGGGCTGGTTCAGAGGGATGTGAAGGCTGGAATGACAGTCAGCGTCTGTGCTTGCCTGAGTTACACCTGGTACAACCTGCTGTACTCAGGCTTTTCTGCCCTGAACACCTCATTTATCTCCTTCTCCTCCTCCCTGCCCCATCTGGGCAGTGGTGCAGCATTGCTGGGGATGGCAGGGATTCAGGAGGAGCATTGTGCTCTGTCCCTCTGCCAGGTGTTCATCACTTCTCTCTTCTCTTCCCCTGCAGCTGCCCAGCTGGACAGTATCGGCTTCAGCATCATCAAGAAGTGCATCCATGCTGTGGAGACAAGAGGTAGGGCAGCTTTGGGGCAGCCCTGCAGCTGTTGGTAGTGGAGCAGTTGCTTTCCTGCTCTTTTCATGGACAAAAATGACTCATTAACCCTCAGATCCACATCAGATGAATGTGCTCCAGCCGATGCTGTTGCCGAGACACGTGTTGGCCCTGTGGTTGGACTCAGCAAACGTTGGGGCAGAGTTGGGCAGTAACACACTGGGTGTGCGAAAGAGGGGATGGGACCAAAGCCAGGGGTTCATTTGAGCATCCTTGCTGCAGGAACACTGCAAAGCACGTCCTCTCACGTGGGATAACAGAGTTGGGCATGGCAGTCCTTCCCCAAAGCCTCTTGTGAAAACTCCTTGTATACAGATAGGATTTTTGTGAGCCTCTTGGCCCTACATGAGGGAGTGCAGAAATGCAAAAGGCTCAGACCTCAACCTGAAGAATGTGGCACAGTAAAATTTTCCCAAACTTCCCTTGTTAAGTGCAGATCCTTCATGGGGCAAACTGTAGCTCCCCTGATGGCTGTGGGGAGGAGGAAAGGTGTCCTTAGATCCTTATTCCTGAGCTAATTGAATGTAACACTTTTATTACATGAAATCCTTGATATCAAACCCAAATTTTACCCTCTTCTATAATTTTTTATGTAATTGATGAGAAGGTTTCAGTGGCTTTGCTATTCGAGAAGCCAAAGAGATGAAAGAAATATTAGCAGCTCTTGTGACCTTCTCCTGATAAGCTCCTTGTTTTTCCTAGGGATCAATGAGCAGGGTCTCTACCGGATTGTTGGAGTAAACTCCAGAGTTCAAAAGCTGCTCAGTATATTAATGGGTGAGTATCTGGTATTTTGTTAAAGGCAAGCTGACTGTGCGGCTTTGAAGTCTTGCCAGCTGGGAGCAGAGGCTCTTGGTGGAGTCCCTAATTGTGGTGAATGTGCCCTTAGGACCATGTGCTGGTAGAGGCCGGGAGGTCCCTGGGCACCGTTGGCAGGTCAGAAGGTAGGACTCGTGTAGGACGTTGCTTTATGAGGTCTCTGGTGCAGTCACTGGTGTCCTGCTCATATGCACTCTTTGAGTTCTGGCAGCCTTCCCAAATGCAAAGCAAAATCTTCAAAGAAATAGCTGAAAGCTTTGGGTTTTCATCTCCTACCTGCCCCCCTGTTCCCAGCACACTTTGAAATTATTTTCTCGTGCGTGTTGCATGCTGCCTGTGACTCTTCTTGCTTTCCCTACAGACCTTCTTGTGCCTGTTTATCGCGGTCTTGCCCAGACCTTTTCAGCATGTGTTTCCCTTGTGCCTGAGGCATTGGACCTTGCAGGTTTGGATGCTCAGGAGAGAAAAGCTGCTGGATCACACTGTGACAGAACTTGGTGTTGACATTTTGGGGCTCCCAATGTGCAGCCCCCTGTGTCTGCCTAGCAGCCTCAGAGCCTCTCACCTCTCACAGGGTGTGATGGCCAGAGAGAAGGAGGTGTTTGCTCCCAGTGCATTCCTGTGGGCTGGATCTGAGCACTGGAATGTGTAGGAGCAAATAGGTCTGGTGTCAGAGAGCTGGTCTTTGTTCCTGAGGCAGGTCTGGGGCACCATGGCTGACTTTTCCTGGACTGGTTCCTTTTTTGGAAGTACTGTGTTTCCATCACCCACCATGGTGCAGAGCCCTGTGTTGGGTCGCACTTTTTGGGATATACTGGAGAATTGTTATCCTGACTCCCAGCCCAGTTCCATGTCAGCTACAGCCTGGGGGTTATCCTTGACCCAAAGAGGAACTCAGCCCTCCCTCTCTCTGCTCTGTTTGCTGCCCCTCCAGTATCACCTTCCCTGCTCCCTGTGCCCTTCCTGTGGTCCAGGCTGGTGCTGAGATTGGCTCAGGCTGTGTGGGACAAAACCATTTCAGCCCCTGGCCTTGCAGTTAGCATTTCCATCCCACAGCTGTAGCCCTAGGCAGTCTGTGTGTCTGTCCAGGCATGTCTTGGACACACAGTTGAAGAGAGAACACATCTGAGCTGGAACAGGGCAGCTGCCTCTCAGCCAGTCCTGTCTGGTGCTGCTCAGACTTGGCAAAACCACCTATGAAATTGTTGTGGGAATGGGGAAACAAATGCTTAATAATTTGTTAGCGCCCTATTAAATGTGTTTGTTACTCCTTGGGGGAAATAAGTGGCATTTCTGGTCTCTTTTGTCTTTCCCTTCACTTATTAGCATTCCTTTGCTAAAAGACTTCATTTTCCTTGCCCTCACAAAACTCCAGTGCTCCTTTCTCTCACAGGAGAGAAATGCACTCTCACAGTGCATTTCTCCTCACAGGAAGTTTTAATCTGTTATGTTTCACTTTAAACATCTTTTCCTTCTCCTTTTCCAGTTCCCCCTTCTTTTTACACCATTGAGGTGTTCACTGATCCAAGCCCATAGTGGCTGTTACTGCTGTCAACATGAACCTATGGAAAATTGGTAATCCAGGGGTGATTGGAGCAGAAGGGCACAGCACTAAATCCGGGCTCAGGGGACCTCTGCGTGCCAGCTTTGCTCTGGCATTTGGAAAGTTTGCTGCAGTCACGAGAGCTGGTGACTGATGCTTTTATTAGAGAAGTTTGGCACAGGCTGTGGGACACATGAAGGTGCCCTGTGGCCCCCCAGGTCCGACGGGGGAGCCAGCGCTCTCCCGTGGCACACGTTGGGCACGGTTGCTTTAGAGCATCAGATGAAGAGCATTGCTCTGGGGTGGGTGCTCAGGGGTGCAGCAGGTCCACAGGCAGGTCCTCTAGTGGTGCTTGTCGTGCTGCTGCGCCTCGTCCCGTGGGCTGGCAGAGCGATGGACCCCGAACTCTCCTCTAAGGGAGAAGAGTTGGTCTTGGTGAGTTCTGGGGCTGTGACAGATGGCAAAACTCACTTGGGTGAAGAGCTCTCTGGAGCTGGGAGGGATCCAGTTTTGGACGCCATCCAGCATCCATTATCTCCTCGGCGACTGAAGCCACTCAGCTGTCGACCTCGTGTCTCATAACACGGTGATATATTGCTGGTGGTTTTCCTTTGTCCTGGTGTGTCCTCGTTACTTGTTGGTGCTGGAAGCCCTGTTACAGGCGAGTGGAGGCTGGAAGCAGGACCCTCTTTGGGGATCCCCCGTGCCGTCAATCGTTGGGATGCTTTGCAAACCCACGACTCCATATCTTTCTCCAAATTGTGGGTGATCAAATCTTCATCAGCCCCAGTGTTTGGGCTGTCTGTGAAGTCAGTGTCACGCAGAAACATGCCCCTTGTCAAACCCCATCTGTTCTTGCTGCCCTCAGGGCTCCAATATCCTGCTGGCAGCAGCACCGCTCTGCTCGGACACTCCCGTTTGGATCCAGCCCTTGTGAACAGAGGAACCAAATTGTGCTTACAACATCAGGTTTCCCTTATATTTAGAAATGAATGTGGGCAGTGTTACTGCTTCACATACAGTTTAAATGGCAAAAAGATCAAGTTTCCCTGAGCTGGTGTCAGTGACACTGCTGGGAAGGGCTTTGGCATGAGGTGTCCCTGCAGGAGGTCGGTGCAGGGACTGTGGAGCACCAGCTCCCCATGGGCAGCAACTGGATCAGGGACAGCCCCAGCCTGTGGGTTTCAGGTTGGGGCAGCAGAGCTTGTCACAGTCTGATCCAGTGTGAAGCAGTGGGGGGGTGCTTCCAGGGGCAGGTCATCTCCCCAAGCCTTCACCAGCACCAGGTACCATCAAAATGAGGACAAAACCCAGCACCTAAGCAAACTTTTATAAGTGGGAGCTCTTGTAAAAGGATTTATTGTGGTAGTGTGTCAGAGGACAGTGGGGGCACCAGCAGGTCTGAATTCAGCCCTGGCATGAGTTACAGCATCTGATCTGCTCTTGCTCCTATTCCCTCTGGGCCATAAGGGCTGGGAGTGGGCTCCTTCATGCCCCTCACTGCTGGGATGAAACGTCCCTGTGACTGTTTTGGAAGTCTCTTGGTGAGAATTACAACTGGGTGATGAGGTAGTGCCCCAGGTAATTCCCCTCTCCCTGGAGAAATTCGTGAGAGATATCAGATCAGTGATTGGCAGCAAAAAGCAGCTCCAGGGTTAATGCTGACTTTGGGCTATGGGTGCTTTTCCAGCCCCTATCCCACATTGACCCCAGTTCCTGTGGAAGTGTGTCCTTGTGGGAGGCAGAGCTGCGGCTCTGGCTGCAGCATCGCTGCCTGGGGAGACAGATGCTGCAGCTGGAACCCACAGCGCTCACTTTTTGCAGACTCATAAATTTGAAGGTCAAGGGGAACTGATTAACTGCTCTGAGCCTTTTCATGGGACCGACTGTGGAATTTCACCTCGTGTGCCATGGTCCTGCCTAGAAACTGCTGGATGAGGTTTTGCAAAGACACACAGTCTGGACTTGTTTGTTCTGCTTCGGTTAAAAAGTTTTTTTTAAAAAAAGGTGGAACTTTTGGGGGGTTTTGTTTTCCTGGTTTTTTTTGTTTTTTTTTTTACTTTGCCAAGCTTATTTTGACTCCATTAAAGTTTCCTCCTTATAAAGGCAGTGCAGTAGGAAGTTTCCTCAACATTGACATGGGAGGATGGAGTTCGTTTGTGTGATCATTGTGTGAGACACACATGATCTTTGTGTGAATATACATTTCTCACATGTTTACTTTTCCAGGTGCACCTCTCGATATTGTTTTTGAATTAAAATAAACCCATTGCTCCAAGGGAAAGCCAAACTCTATTCAGGGCATTCTTTTAAGTAGGTTGAAAATTACCCAATGCTTACCTGGGGCTTTAAAATTCAAAAGTGCATTATTTGTGTCTGTGAAAAGGCAGAAATACCCCCTGAGCTGAGCCTGTAGGAGCAGATGGTGCGAGCAGCTGTGGCTGTGTCAGCCTTGGCCTTGGGCATGGTGGGAGCCCCCGCGCCTGCGCCGCTCCCCAGGGACGCTTGGCACTGATGGGATCCCGGGATCCCCGCAGAGGCTTCCCTGGGATTTTGTTAGGAGCAGGATCCTGACTGTGCTTCCAGCACTGAGTTAGCAAAGCGTGTTCGTGGAGGAGCATCCACGTGGGAGAGATCAGCACATGGGGCACATCCATGCCCTGCCTCTCCCTGGCCGTGCTCCTCACCCCGGCACGGAGCCATTGCCGTGTTGGGACTCAGTGCTGTGCCTGAGGTATCCATGGCCAGGCCACTTCCTGCTGGCCCTGATGGTGGCTGTGCAGGAGATGGGCTGTGATTGCCTCGGTGGGGAGGCAGATGCAGGATGACGTTTGGCATCAGTGGGAAGAGGGTCCCTGTGTCCTGGGTCTGTGTCCTGTCTGTGCCTGGCCATCACCGCTGTCACTGAGCACCACAGGCTGCTGTGCCCTCTGTCCTGTCACCCTCAGAGCCAAACTGCCCATGTCCTCGCTTGGGATGGATGATTCCCTTTCCTTTCTCTCCTCCCATCCCAGTGAATGTGGCCCATCCCAGGTGATGGACCCCACTCCCCTGCCGACATGTCTGTGGGGATTGGCTGTGGTCCCTGGGCTGGGAATAGCGAATAAAATGGGACATGAGAGTCTCTCCACACAGCTGAGCTGGCACAAAATGGAATTGTTTTTGCTTTGCTTCACTTTTGTCTTTTTTGTCTTTTTCCTTAGATCCCAAAACAGCCACAGAGACAGATACAGAGATCTGTGCAGAGTGGGAGATCAAGACCATTACTAGTGCACTGAAAACATACCTGAGGTAAGGAGAAAACCCTCACCCTGCTTCAGAAGGGGTTCAGTGGTGGTCTGGGACATTACTGCCCCTTATTGCAGACTTTTAGCAACAGCACTGTGATAGAAACAGCAGAAACTGCTCTTAGGTAATTTATTCTGGCTTTTCCCTGACCTTCCAGCATGTGTGAGTATAATCTGGGGAACACACTCATTTCTGACAGATGCACATATCATACCAACATGATTTTAAAAGCTCATTCTTGCATCTCCTGCTTTGATTTAAGCTTTTCTCTGAGCTTTTCCCAATGGACTTCCACCTTCTGAGCTCGTGGCAGGAGGTGGGGGCAGTGCTGTGTAAAGGGCAGCGGCTGTAGAGCTTTTCCAGACGCGGTGCTGAGCTTTAGTGTAGTTATAATTTCTGTGTGTAAGTCGATGCCTTTATCGTCCTGGGTATCTTCCCACTGGGCTCGGGTGTTGGCAGCCAGCAGCATCTCATTATCCACAACATGCTTCTACCTGTTGTGACCACAGCTTCTTGCTCTCTGTGGCTGTTGTGTGCGTTGGGTTGTGTTTGACAGAGTGAGGGAGCACAAGAGAGAAGCTAAATCCAATTAGGCTGGTGAGGGTAATTAGCATGGTGGATCTCAGCCTAGAAAATCACAGAACACTACAGAATTTTGCATGATTGGAAACATTTACTCCAGAGTTTGAACTGTTGGCAAAGCAGAGGAATGTGGGCAGCACCAGTGTGACCCTCTGAAGGGATGCAGCAGTGGGAGGGGGCAAGGGGAATTGAATGGGAACAGGGATTGTGAAAGTTTTACAACTAGTCTTGTTTATCTTTTTAATTTATTTTTAAATTTACTTGAAGGTCAGGGGCTTGGTAATGCACTGAAACTCCATGTTACTGAAGGAATGCTAAAATTAAAGATTAATTTAGTGACGAATAAATCAAAGGTACTTGCATAGATCTTATTCTTTCTGATGAGGGGAATTAATTAGAGTTGCTGTTGCTAAATTCTGCACTTTTCAAAATGGAGCTGAATTTGTGGTAGAGGCAAAGCCTTCTGTGTGTGGACTGTGTTCCCAGATGTGTTTTGTGCCTGTTTCCTTTTTATCTTCTAGAATGCTCCCAGGGCCCCTCATGATGTACCAGTTTCAAAGGAGCTTCATCAAAGCAGCGAGTGAGTTTGTTGATGTTTATGGCCCCGCTCCCAAAGTGGAGCCTCATTTGCAAGTTACTGAGATTCCCTCTGCCCTGCTGCCTCCCCACCGACCTCCCGGGCTCCCGTCCCAGAAAGTAGAATAAGAATGGAGAGCCACGGGGCAGGTTGTTGTTTGGGAGGTGACCAGATGAAGAGGAAGCACAGATGGTGCTGGGAGCGCAGAGCTGGCGGTGGCTCCCGCTTGTTGTGACCATCAGCTGCCAAGGCGGGGGAGGCTGTTGTTCAAACAATGCCCACGGGTGTTTGATGGCACCAGTGGTGGTTCAGATGTCTGTGCTGTGTTCCTGTCACTTTCCTGGGAGAAGGGGCTTTGCTGGGAGCAGGTAGCTCTCTTTTGGCAGCTGTACAAGGAGCCAGGGCCAGGAGGGCTCACATAGTCCATGGCCACAGTGGTGGTGGCCTCTCTCAGCAACTCCCACTTAGTACCCGTGGATCCAACTGGATGCTCCCGCCTGACCTTTGCTGGGCACACTGAACATACAGAAAGGGAACGTGCTGATATTCCTGTTGCTGAAATCACTCCGGTTACAGCCAGCCCTGCCCTGCCCTGCTTACCACTGGCTGTTCACAGGCATCAACTCTCAGCTCACAGTTTCAACCCTTTAAGTGTCTTCCTTTGGATTCAACTGCTTGGAGATGGTAGGAAGGAGCAGTGCCATGGATAGTATCCACAGCATGCCTGGGTGTGAGCAGGTCCTTGGGATGTCTTTTGGAGTTAGTGTTATGAGTCTTCCCATAACAAACCCCCGATGCAGAGATAAATCATCTTCTATTTCCCATACAGAACTGGAGAATCAGGAGTCCAGAGTGTCAGAGATCCACAACCTCGTTCATCGGCTCCCGGAGAAAAACAGGCAGATGCTGCAGTTGCTCATGAACCACTTGGCAAAGTACGTTTATGACTGATGTGTTTTTCTCTCCTTTTTCCACTTCCTCTGAAAGTTAATAGCGGTGGAAAAGTTTCCTTGTGTGTGTGTGGTGTTGAGTCATATCTGGTTGGCGAGAAACTGGAAACCTGTGTCTGAGTGAACCAAGGGCTGAGCGACAGAATGGAGTGGGAGGGAGGAATGAGAAGAGGAGGGATGAGGGAGGCAAGGATGAGGGAAGGGGGCTTCCCGACCAATCCCCAGCCCTGTGTTGGCACCAGGAACCCATAAGCTATTGGGAATCTCGTGTTGCTTTTAGTGGCCTGGAGTGGGGTTTGGCTGCCCAGGAGGCAGAGCGGACGTGAAGCTCCTCTCGGGGTTTCCAGTCAAACCTGGCATTAAAGGACTAAAAGTGATTTCTTTGCCCAACAGACAGCTACTCTGGGGTGTATTTTCTGCCTTTATGCACCCCGATGAATCAGTATTTCTGGGTCACCTTGAAACTTTGCGAGGGCAAAGGAATGGAATAATTTTTTTTCTTTCAGTGATAGAGCTGACCTGTAATTTCCCATCTTCTTCCTGCTCCTGCAGGTTCCCATAGAAACCTTTGATTAGTGTTTTAAAAGTGAAAGCATCATCAGATGTTTGTGACAGTCTCAAGGCTGCGGGGTCGGACCTGCTCTTGCAGTTTGCACTGGTGCTGCAGGAGCAGCAGGGATGAGGCAGGACAGGGAAACCTGGGGAATGAGTTAATTGGGATGACTGCTTAGGAGAAGGTCTGGGAGAACCCAAGTTGTATGTTTAAGGGAAAAAAATAACAAACGGTACTTGAAATAGGCTTAAAACCAACTCCAGATGCTTTCTTGTGACATGGGTTTGTGTCTCCATGGACTCCCTGGCAAGGCTGTTTAAAAACCAAAGAGCTGGTTTAGGTGTTGGTTTCAAACCTTCTATATTTACAGCCTGAAGCCAGAGCCAGGCTCTTTCGGGTGCTCCCCTTGGCCAGTTGAGATTGCCCAGAAAAGTTTTGGCTGCCCCAGCCCTGAAAGAGGGGTGGAATGAGATGAGATTTAAGGTCCCTTCCAACCCAAACCATTCCAGGATTCTATGTGTGCGAAGAATCCAAAACTGTTTAAGTGTTTTCCATTTAAAGGAAACCCTGGTGATGGAGTGAGACATGGAGGGGGAGGCAGGTGTACAGTGGGGTTTGTGCTGTTTTGGTGGGGAAGGAACTGAAACAAAACAAACAGCGAGTGTGGTGGTGTTGCTATTTTAGGAAAAGAAACAGCTCATAGTGTTATTTAATAGGAAAAAAATTATCTCAGAGAAAGGCAGGAAGCTGAGAAGCAAGAGCCTGCTCTGCTGAGCTCTCCCAGCCCTGGTGCTACTCCTGGGGGATCCTGGGCTGCGGAGGGAGAAGCTCAGCCAACCCCAGGCATGGACTCACAGCATCCTTTTAGTGTTGATCCTGCAGCCCCTGCTCCAGGAGCATCACCCTGATCTGGGAGCAGCACCCTGCTTCAAGGAGTACCTGGGAGGCAGCTGGGGACAGGGCTTGTTGCCACAACTCTTCTAAATGAGCTGTTTGAGGCTGCAGTGCCATAAAGCCATATTAAAGGCATAAGTGGAGACAAATCCGCACATCTGCAGCAGATGTTTGGAGGGAGGGGCCGTGTTGCAGAAGGGATGGGGCCTGGCTGTCCCACAGGGATGCTCTGAGGGTGGGACCAGCCAGGGTCTGGGTGCTGCTGAGAGCAGGGCCCCCACAGCTAACGTGGGCAAAGCCAGGGTCCACTGCCTGGCCCTGCCAAGCTGGGCCACGCTGCTTGGAGGGGATTGTCTCATCTGTTTCTGTTTGGGTTTTTTATTTTAAGTAACATATGAATAATCAAGATTTGCGTGTTTATCAGATGAGCTAAAAAATATTTCTCACAGTCTTGCTGCGGAGATTTCTGATACTAAAAACAGAACTTGGGCTGTGTCAGTTGAATAGAAAAAGAGCCTGTTCTCGCTGGTCTATGGCTTCTGGGTTTTTGGGGTGTACGTGCACTGGTGCACTGCTGCTCTGACGAGGGACGTGGGGCTCCTCATGTGATGGGGCTGCAGTTATTAACAGCAATAAAACCGTGCTAAGAAAGCTGATACATTCAAAAATGGCAATTATTAACACCAGTATCAGACAGGATAAGTGCCTCTGAGGTAATTTAGCAGTGCCCTTCCTCCTGCATAGCAGAGAAATGCAGTGGGTTCCCTGTGGCAGCTGGGTGCCCCCCAAAATCAGAGTGCAGTGAGAGGGACTAGCAGAGGAAGGAGAGGACAGATCTCAGGAACAGGCACAGATAGGATGAAGAGAAAAGAGCATATCAATAGAAAGTGAACATGATTTCTGCCTCTTACTGCATTTCCAAGACTGTTTACACTATCTCATGTCTGTGTGTCCAGGCAGTTATCCATTAAGACACACAGAGCAGGAGTGATTCCTGTTCATGCTCTTTCATCAGGAATGTAATGCTGCAATTTCCTCCCCTGCTCTGCAGACCTTAGTTCCAGTGAAACTTGCTATTACAGTTTTATTCCTTGACCCATGAGTAGGTAAACCCTTTAATCTTCTTTGCTGGGACATGTTCATACTCTCAGGATCCCCATAATAAACTCAGCTGTGTTTTGCTGTTCCCGAGAGCAAGAAGATCTCTTTGTTCTGATATTTTTTTGAGGAGATCTCAGCAGGGAAACCTAAGCACCCACAGCCCAGACCGTCCCCTGAGCCTGTGCCCGTATCCTGATGAGAGTCAGTGAGACCGGATAACACTGGCACAGGTTTCCCAGAAAAGCTGCAGCTGTCCCATCCCTAGAAGTGTTCAAGGCCAGGTTGGATGGTGCTCGGAGCAACCTGGGCTAGTGGAAGGTGTCCCTGCCCATGGCAGGGGGTGGAATGAGATGGTCTTTAAGGTTCCTTCCAACCCAAACCATTCTGGGATTCTATGATTAAACCAATTTTTTTTCTGTCCAGTAAGTCAAAGCTAAGCAAGGCTCCCACAGTGGTACTAGGCTGGCAGAGGCACTGCCAGAGTTGAGCTGGTTGCAGAAAATTGCCATTTTTGTTTGTGGAGCTGCAATATCATCCCTGTCTCTTTCTTCTTTTTTTGTGCAGAACAGGAGGATTTCACTCTGTTTATATTTCAAGCATTTCAGGAGTTATTTTTTGTGCGTGGCCATAATTTGACACCTGAGCTTTGCTTTGTTCTTGTGGCAGTGAGTCCAGCTCTCCAATGAAGGTGGTGCTGGGCTCGTGCATCCTCCGCAGGGCCCCCAGACCCTCCCGTGGGTCAGCATTCCCCCAGCATCGCTGCCACTGCCCCCGGTGTCCCCTGACCCATGCACCCACTCCTCTCCTGGCCAAGGTCAGGACCATGGAGCAGGCTGCAGCCAAGCTGTGTGTACGTGTATTTAGCAGAATTAATTATCTCTAATCTCTCCCAGCTGCAACCTGGCCAACACCAACTGGTTCCCTTTGGTTTTGCTCCGGTGGCGTTTTCTAGTTTGCGTTTTTTAACCAAGAAGACAGTGATTGTTATCTCTAGCACAAATTGTTTGCCGCTGATCAGCACGATGGTTTCTGAGGGTTTCTGTGGGCTCTGCAGGGCAGCTGCTGTTGGGGATCCAGCAAAACCCACGTTGGCGCGACAGGGCAGGGGCCGGGCACGGCGTGCGGTGTGTTCCGGAGGGCTCGCTGCTGTACGAGGGATTGTTGGCAAAGGAGAAGAAGAAAAAAATTCCTCCAGGTCTTCTGCCTAAAAATACAACCCGTGCTTGTTTTCCTCGGCGTGGAGCAGTCCCGGCCTTGGCAGCCCTGTGCCGCGCTCCCAGCCACGCTGCCCTGCAGAGCCCCCTGGGAACTGGTCCCCAGTGCTCACCATGGTGGGCTCTGTGCCCACGACTTCAGGAACCCACCGAGGCACCTGCATGGGACCAGGGGTGGCAGATCCCCCAGAAATGTGCTTTTCCTTGGTTTGTTTTCCTGGTTTCCCCCGAAGGTGCAGCCAGCAAGGAGGCTGACGCCTCTTGGCACAGCAGGTCTGATTTCATCCCCATGGCAGCTGTTTATGCTGCTGTCTGGTAACTATTCATTTGCTTGATTTATGTATTGCTTCCAGTAAGTCATTCTTGTCCCGGACATTCTGGAAATTTCCACTAGCCACTGAGGCCTCTGAGATGCTCCGCTCTCTTATGCTCCTCACTTGATTTGGCTGCCAAAAGCAAACAGGGAGCATTCTCTGAGCTAGTGTGCCCCAGGCCAGGCAGTGGTCCTCATTGCTGCCTTCGGGAATGCCATTTTTTTGCCCAGTGCCTGTTTTTGCTCCTTTTGGATCACAGCACTGCTGGCTCCTGGGCAAAGCCCTGGGTGACTCAGAGGATCTGGGTACTTCCATAGGTAGCAAAAGTCACATGGAAGGTGACTCCCTGTAGGCACGTCCTGCCTTGCTGGAGATGGGAGAGTCCTGTCTGGAGCTCGGCTGTCCTGGTTCAGGCTCGTGTCAGTCTCCTGCCGTGCTTTCTTTGCCCATTTTTCCTTTTTCCCTAGTTGGATATAGGTGGGCTTTAAGGTCCCTTCCAACCCAACCCATTCTGTTGGTTCCATGATTGTATGATTTGTGCTTTGGAGCCAGAGGTGTCAGAGCCTTGTGGGGCACAGCAACACCTTTGGTTTCCCCTTTGCTCTCCTCTACCTCATGTGTTTTGGTGGAGGAGCCGGTGATGCTTCCACAGAGCCCAAACAGCACAGTGTACCCTGCAGCACTCTGTGCATGCCTTCCCCTTGCCTACTCTGCCTTCCTTTTACTTCTCTGGTTTTGTTTTTGAGATTCTGCAGAACTAAAAAGAAAAACCACCACAGAAAGCCCTGTAGGTGTTCTCTGGGTTTTTGGGCTTGACTTCCTGTAATGTTTAAATTAGCTATCTGCATCTGTTTCTGCAAATGAACTTTTAACCCCCTCAGCCTGGATTGTCCATGGAGCAGCTGTGTG